ATCGCTATGATGCTCAACGAACAGATGTCGAGTATATGCAACGACTCCCAACGTAAATTTTTTAAAATATGGGAGCCATGGTTGCAATATGCCTTTCCCACGCTCCCCCCGGCTAGTCTGTGGATGTAATGGCGTTCGGTATTGGCGCTCTTGGACCCCTGCTCTTTGTGGGTTTTTTTTTTCCCCTTCTCTCTTTCTCTGTTTGTTTCTGGTGTGACAGTGGACAGCTGCCTTTAAGTTGTTATAGTCGTAGCTCCTGTGTGGGCATGTTTTGTTGCCTCTGTTTTATACTGTTTAAAATTAATAAAAACCATTGAATATAAGAAAGGCAGTGGTCGTCTTGGAGGTGTGTTTGGGGTCGTTATCATGTTGTAATACTGCCCTGCAGCCCAGCCTCCGAAGGGAGGGGATCATGCTCTGCTTCACAGTACATGTTGGCATTCATGGTTCTCTCAATGAACTGTAGCTCTCCAGTGTTGGCAGCACTCATGCAGCCCCAGACCATGACACTCCAAACAGCAAGTGTGACTGTAGGCAAGACACACTTGTCTTGTCAATCCTCAACTGGCTGCCGCCACACATGCTTGACACCATCTGAACCAAATAAGTTTATCTCATCAGAACACAGGACATGGTTCCAGTAATCCATGTCCTTAGTCTGCTTGTCTTCAGCAAACTGTTTGCGGGCTTTCTTGTGCATCATCTTTTGAAGAGGCTTCCCTAAGGGATGACAGTCATGCAGACCAGTTTGATGTAGTGTGCGGTGTATGGCCTGAGCACTGACAGGCTGACTCCCCACCCCTTCAACCTCTGCAGCAATGCTGGCAGCAGCACTCATAAGTCTGTTTCCCAAAGACAGCCTCTGGATATGATGCTGAGCACGTGCACTCAGCTTCTTTGGTTGACCGTGGCAAGGCCTGTTCTAAGTGGAACCTGTCCTGTTAAACCGCTGTATGGTCTTGGCCACCGTGCTGCAGCTCAGTTTCAGGGTCTGGGCAATCTTCTTATAGCCTAGGCCATATTTATGTAGAGCAACAATTATTTTTTTCAGATCCTCAGAGAGTTCTCTGCCATGAGGTGCCATGTTGAATTTCCAGTGACCAGTATGAGAGAGTGAGAGCGATAACACCAAATTTAACACACCTGAGACCTTGTAACACTAATGAGTCACATGACACCAGGGAGGGAAAATGGCAAATTGGGCCCAATTTGGACATTTTCACTTAGGGGTGTACTCTCTTTTGTTGCCAGCGGTTTAGACATTAATGGCTGTATGTTGAGTTATTTTGAGGGGATAGCAAATTTACACTGTTATACAAGCTGTACACTCACTACTTTACATTGTAGCAAAGTGTCATTTCTTCAGTGTTGTCACATGAAAAGACAGAATAAAATATTTACAAAAATGTGGGGGGTGTACTCACCTCTGTGAGATACTGTAACTATCAGGGTTTAGCAAAATGTGGGGTTAACAATATGGAAATATGGAAATCCAGAGATAACTGATGTATTGACTAGTAAGTGTGCACACTGCAATACAGTGCCATTCAGATGCTGGGTTGGGAAATACACAAAATACACTCTTTAGTCCAGTTAGGTATTCTTAAAAAAAAGAGAAAAAAATGCATTTAAAATGATGCTGGTTAAACTTGTTGAAATTACTTTTTATCGTTTCCACAATTCCCTCCACAACAGGTAAAAGTGGGAAGTTATATACTGTGAGCCAATCTGAAATGTTTTCTGACAGCAAAGGGTAGGAGATAACTAATGTAGATAGTTTACAGGAGAGGAGGGCACAGTGAGTAGCTCTTTAGTGGTGATGATAGTCATTGTTGTCCTTTGAGTAGGTAATTGACACCAGGGGAAAAGTGATCCCTACTATGAAATCACAAGACAGTCTGCACAGAATTATAAATACCTTGGCAGATACACATAATTTCATTTCAGTTGTTTAACTGTCTGTTGGAGTACTAATTAATTCAACAGGAAAATATAGTTTTAAAACATCTCTTGCTGTTGGATGGAGTCCATCAGGTTGGGTTCAGAAGCTACAAACAACAGTAATAAATGAATGATTGGTGTGCAATAAACATATATTTTCATATAGATTGATTCATTTATCAGCAAACAGTATAAGATGCCAGATTTCTGCACAGCCAAACCAGTCGGTGGCCTAGAAAGGCAGGGCCTGCAGGGTCAGAATTCAGCTATCAGTTTCATGTACAATGAAAATAATGCATACCAGTGTCATATGGCCATTTCTTTGGAGGGCTACAACCTTTACTGCGACCTTTATTAATTTTTTCAGCTCAGAGGTACTTATGAAACAATGTTTAGGTCTCAAGGAACCTTGCTAATACCGATTCATTGGGAGTTAGTGGAAAAAATGTCCTTTATATTGGTGGTCAATAGGAAGAATGCCCCATTACAATGGAAGTCAGAATGGCACCCTTACAGACCCTTGGGGGTTATTTACTAAAGCTGGAGAGTCCAAAATCAGACTCCCTTCTGCATAGAAACCAATCAGCTTCCAGGTTTCATTGCCACAGCTTCATTGAACAAGCTGAGGTTAGAAGCTGATTGGTTTCTATGCAGAAGGGAGTCTGATTTTGGACTCTCCAGCTTTAGTAAATAAACCCCTTGGTGTCCTGCAGCTGACTCTGCCAAGTGGAGTTTTTGGTCCCTGAACTATGCTAACATCATCAAATGGGAGCAGCATCTAGAGAAACTTTAGGGAACTCTAGTTGAGAATGGCTGGTCTGCTTCATTCGTACAGTTTTCCCGCTCTTGGTCCGTACATCTAAGGAGTGATTCTGTAGCTATAAACCCTTTCCTTTTCTGGTTGTATCAGTATGGTTCTTCTGCCTCTTTGAACATGTTTCTTATTTTTGCTGTCTCGGTATGGTAATGTAATGGCTCTAAGTAGGGTTCTACTAATTTTTTATTGATACAGACTCATTATTTGTTATCTGATCTTGTAATTATGATACCAAGGCTATCCAAAGACAGAGATGGAGGTGGTAAGATCTGATCTTAACGAATGATTATTCTTCAGAATGACTGACACATAAATATTCATGATAATTTATTCAGTGAGTGAACACCCCCACAGCTTGCTTTAAAAAAAGGTGGGAGGCACAGAAGAGTCAACTGTAGAAAGAGGGGGATGGCAACACAATTGGCCTAAGGCGACAGAAACTATGAATCCTCAATATATATTTTCACTTTGCATTGTCTGATAACAACAAGATATAAGATGAAATTCTCCATTCGGATATAAATGATTTCACTGGCTGTGATGCCTTTTTTTAAGGTGGATTTGCACTGTTTCTGTGTGTGTTGCTGAGCATGTGAATAGATCTATATACTGTCATACCATATTAAATTGTAGTATCTAGCTTTTAACCAGCTATATAGGAATAAATACTTGAAGTATGTGCGTGAAAGAAGTAAAAGTTGGTTCTGATGAATCAACCATAAAGTAATTTTTCTTTCAAAGAAGCATATCCATTTATATGAAGTATTGTATAGGTGGATCCTGTTCTGCTCCTAGGCTGCTACCTCTCTGATAGCTACCTCTTTGATCCGCTCCGTGAGGACGTCGATGATGAAAAGCTTAGGGTGGTGCCTTTGGATGTGAAGTTCAGCACGCTCCTGGCCTGCTTGCACTTTGTATGTGCATATTTAGCTGGGTCTGAGTCCTTTGTATTCATTACACATGCTGTCTATACTGGTGTCAGTCTGGACACCTTCCTTGTAAATGCATTTCTTCATTAAAGTTGATGTTTTTTAAAAACATACTGCACCATGATTGTTCACTTTTTTCTTTCGAGTGACGGTCTGATCATCTCTCAGTTTGGATACTAAATCACCTTTGGAGTGGATTTTCAGCTTTGCAGAACATCATCTGTTGGAGTTCATCCCTCATTTCTTCAGTGTTTCTGTCACTATATTAATCATTGCTCCCAGAGTAACAAGTGCTATATGCTGTTTTATTCCACAATCAGCATATTACTCTGGTGAGTTTTATTTAACCATTTTTGGTGGTGGATTCACTTGGGGATTAATTATTTTGGACATTGATTATTTGAACTTTTGGACTTTTTCGTTTTTGCTGGATTTAATTTTGATTTAAAATATTGTTTTTTATTGTTTTGCCAAATTTTTTGTTACACTTTTGTATGTATTTAAGCGCAACCTATTTTTTTGAACTTTTGTATATCCTATAAGTTTATAGGCTAGGTTCTGCAGCTTACTGTTGTCTTATACAATTTCCGTGGTGCTGGTTCTATACTCTCTGATAGCGGAAAAGGAAGCACTCACCAGACAGTAAATTCTTGGATTTGCACTGGGGAGTGCGTGGTATAAAAGTTCATCTCACTTGAAGTACTTTTTGAAACATTTATTGGTTAAGAGCATCAATTAGGCCAATGTGGTGTGGGCAAAAAAAAAATTCCCCTTCTTCAGGGCTTCAGCAGTCAACGTTAATAAAATCACGACAGAATGCACTAGGGGTTCTGTTTCCTGATGCCACTCAGCCAACTGCCTTTAGTGCCCTCAGGAAACGTTAGTCTTCATCAAGCCTTAACACAGGTCCCTTAGTGTATTCTTTGTGATTTTATTAATGTCAACTGCTCAAGTCCTGAAGAAGAGGGAGGCGTTTTCCCCCAAAATGAGTTGACAGTGTTTAATGCTCTTAACCATTAAGTGTTTCAAAAAAACGGAAAAAAAAATGAATTTCTACTTGACATGCGGTTTCAAGCAGCAAAAACATGAGATTTTCTGCATTAAAACACACAAGTGTGAATAGGCCCTTACATTTATATGATTTGAAAAGAAATCAAAGAGAAAAAAATAAAAAATAGCTTTTTATTGTTCTCCATGTCATTCCACTGTTGCAATGCATTTAGTGCTTTCTCTTTTCAGATTTAAATCCCAAAATGCTTTGCAGGGTTACTATATTTTATCTTCCGTTTGTTTGAAATTCACACCTTGGTCTGTTACGCCCGTTGCTTGGTCACATTCACATATATGAAACTCAAGCATCGCCCCAGACTGGCACAGACAGGAGCTACGAAGATGTCCAACAGACTTGCCCACAGTGTCCGGATGGGGGGCATACAGATATTGCAGAGTTGAATACATGGCATAGCACACCTGTGAATCAGAAAATAGATACCAATATACTTAAAAAGAAAATATCAGCTAACAATACATGGATAAAACAATGTTTTTTTTACTACCGTCTTTATAGATATGGGTGACAGTCACAGTAAATATTAGAGATGGACAAATTTCTCCCTGAGAACATGATATCTTCCCATTCTCTGAGTCCCTTAGTAACGTGACCCACCCTTATATTCACCACTTGTGTGACACACGATTCCTTCACTTTTTTTATAAAGGATAGGGTGCCCTTACAGCAGTGTTTCTCAACTCCAGTCCTCATGGACCCCCAACAGGTCATGTTTTCAGGATTTCCCTCATATGAAACAGCTGTGGTAATTACTAAGGCAGTGAAACTGATCAAATCACCTGTGCAAAATAATGGAAATCCTGAAAACATGACCTGTTGGGGGTCCATGAGGACTGGAGTTGAGAAACACTGCCTTACAGGAAGATTCCCCATCAAGTTGAGAAAGAATCAGTTTTCTTTAAGTCTTTTAAGAGAATTACAAAACTCTGGGGAGGAGGATTATTAAAATTACATCTCTTAAACCAAAGTCTAGTCAAATGATTTTTTATTTGAGAAAGGAACCTCAACCTCATGTTTAAAATTTTTTAAAAATCAGCTCGGTCTGCAATGCTCACTTCCTCTCCAGAGCTGTTTAGATAACCAAGCTAATAGATCTGCACAAAGATGTCAGGAGAAGTCACAGAGTTCCCATAGACAATTGATTGTGCCATGATTTGACCATATCTGCCCAGATTGTTCAGCATCTCATGTTTCTGGGCACTTCACAAACTTTTCTTCAAGGTGACAATTATTTCTTTTGCTGTCCCATCTAACAGAACCTATGTATGCCTACAGGCTGGTGAGTGCTTTTTGTTGTGCTCCCATTCCTATCACAGATCTCTAGCATTCTTCAGATACCAGCTGTGAAACTCTGTGAAAAAACTGATGTTAACACAATAAGAATCAATTACATCATCCCTGGATTTTTCTTCCTTTTGGTTGACAGCCTACAGAAAAAAAGGAAAAATATCATTGTATCTTCTGAAGGTAAAATGTTTTTTTTTTCACAGATTTCACAGCTGTTATTTGGGAAATGCTAAAGAATTGTAACAGGAGTAAGTCCAAGTAGCATCTTTCTAGAATTGGTTTGTTAGCAAGGGTCAGGTAAATTTAGTTGTTTAGCTCCTCTGTAACCAGTGGAGCGGTGTGCCATTAATTTAGGCTGTTCTAGGTCTCACTAGCTGCAGGCTCAACTGCTTCCCCCTGCCTTCTAGTGGATTCTAGAATGTAGTGGGTTGGAAGAGGCAAACCCTTGGCCTGAATATTTATATAGTTTAAGCCAATTCCTGGGGGAGACGATGCCCAGTAGGTGGCTGAAGCGTGCATATATAGTCTGGGGCCTGGAGCAGCAGAGTTCTTGTCCAAGAGTAGAAGACCCCAGACTGAAGGGCTTTTTGTACAGTGTATTCTGGAGTATCCCACAGCCCTCCCTGTACCCCAAGTTTGCCCCCTAGCATTAAAACATAAAAAGTCATTCCAAGCCTGGGGTTACTGAGTTGTGAGACTGTCCAAGCTACTGTGTGGCTGGTTGCATTTACACCTAATTGGAAAGAGAACCTGGGACAAACTAGCGGGCCCATCAGGCGGCTAGCTCTACAAGTGCAATACAAATCTTACAACAGCCTCAATGTACAGATAACGCTAGGTGTGCTAGAGGGGATAGCAAAAGGAATAGCAAGGATGATTTAAATTAAAATATAACTAAAACTGGCTTAGAGACAGCAGAAAGTGGTCTAACTCCCTGAATATCACAAAACTCCATAAACAGAGAATACATGTGTATGTAATAGTCACAAACGAGGACTGTCATTTATGGTTGGGATTGTGGACCCTCCATGTACCCTGGACGCTGGATGGTGGTATACTCAAAGAGCACACCCATGCAGGCTACAGTTGACCTGGTACAGGGAAGCACAGAGATGAGAATGTTGGAAAGCATGAAATTTAGGATTCACATGAATGGAAGGAGTCTAGTGCAGCACTGGGATACTGGTCTTACAGGCATGCAAGACACTGGTAGGAAACACTTACTGCCCTGAGGTGCAGGGCTCACAGTAATGTGCATGGGCTTACTGGATTACTCTAGCAGCAGTGGGATACTGAGATTACAGGAACACAGAGGTAACAATATATATAAGTTACATGGAAGTGCACAAAGGTCCCAGGGAATGCAGGTACATAGAATACAATTGAGGTACACGAGGAGTCTAGGACAGGAATGTAGTGCAGACCCCAGGCCGGTCTTGCCATTTTGTCCCAGGTTCTATTCCCTATTGGGTGCATGACAGTCAGGTACACAGTAGTTTCCCAGTCTCTCAACGCAATACTCAGGCAAGTGTCTTTTTGACGTTTAATGCTGGTTAAACTTGGTTGGGGTGTAGGGTGAGCCTTGGGATACTCCGCATTTAGCGCAAACTATAACAGAGAACACTCTGGTAATAGCTAACTCTTCAGGGTGAACCTCTTGTGATAAGAGGTAGTGGATATACAGCTCTTAAGTCTTAAGCCAGGAACTCTGGAACAGTTTCTCCCAGGGTTCCAGCAACAACAGTCACTAGGATCTCTCTCTCTCTGTCAGGCCTCTGCTCACGGTGTCCCCGTGTACATGGATGTCTCCATCCAGTACCAGCCAAACCCTGTACCATGAGCCTCCAGGCCAGATCCTCAGTGGGCTCTCTCCAAACTGTTCTCAGCAACTTTAAGAGATAGGAACCCCAGTTCTCCATAAGCTGGGACCTCTATGAAACTCCTGCAGTCTTCAGTTGACTTGCCCAGAAGGGCAGCAACACTTTAGGCAGGGTCTCCTCCTCCAGGACAAGGATCCTGCTGTTCTAGGCCCCAAACTATTTAAACACACCTCAGCCCCCTGCTGAATATATAGCACAGGGTCTACCTCTTTAAACCCACTATAATGTAGAACAGGGTTTCTCAACCAGGGTTCCATGGAATCTTAGTGTTCTTCCAGAGGTTGTTAGGGGTTCCTTGAATAATGAGCAATTTCTGCTTCTCAGATAAGTTCCCGCTGACACCATTGATCTTTTTAGCTATCTGTAAAAGGGTAATTCTTCCCAATGACCGCAAGTGTAAAGAAGCATTCTTCACACTGACTTATCACACTAATGTATCATGAGTTGTAGATATAGTAATTACTAGCAGGGGTTCACTGAGACCAGAAAGTTATTTCAAGGGTTCCTCTGTGTTCAATTGTTGGGAAAGTCTGTTCTAGCAATTACTAACAGACAGGGGAACGTAGTTTAGTCTACAACCAGCAGGACCCAGAACAGCCAAAGTAATCAAACTCTGCTCCACTGGCTACAGAGGAGCCAAAAATTTAAATTTGCCTAATTCTACTAACAACTTAACTAGGAGGGCACTACAGGATGGATACTTATCGCTACTATATGGGTAGAATACATGAACAATGAAGGGCAGGGCTGTGGTGCAGAGTCTAGGGAACTGTCATGTCTTCCCCAGAGCTCCTGAAGGTGGAGATGAGTTGTGCTGCAGATGATTCCCAGGTTGTAGTTCTCTGGCTCATCCAAGTGGGCAGCTACTGGGAACTAAGGGCTGATAAACATAAGAATCCCTTGCAGCACTGAGGCACAGGGATCACAGGACAGTAGGGAGTACAGCCCAAGCTGGCAGGTGTGCATGTTAACACACAGACATTGGAAACAGGTGCACAGAGACCCACAAGACAACTAGGAGTGAGAAGAAATGCAACGAGGGACAAAAAGGAACCTGTAGGAGCAGAAGATGTGCACAGGGACATCAAGCAGCAAACAGACTGGAAATACACTGGGAGACACTAAAACAGACTGCAGACTTGGGTGATGCTAGCAAATAGCAGACAGGAATCCAAAGGAGATCACATAAGGGCTGAAAGGCTAAAAGCTGGCAAAGGTACACAGGAGAAACAGAGACACAAAGACACTGGAATGCTCAAAGGACACATCAAGTGCACAGATATAGGTTGTAAGCAGGAACACACTGAGGGATTGATTTACTAAAGGCAAATAGACTGCATTTTGCAAGGGCATTTGCTTCAGAGCTTAGTAAAGGAGGTGAAGCTTCACTTTGCAAACAATATCTAATCAAATGCAAGGTAAATAAAAAAAATTACATATTTGCTTGCACATGATGATGGAAGTCAGCAGAGCTTCTCCTCTTTTTTTAAAGTTCTGGAGCAAGTCCCCACACAAAGTACAATTGCAGTTGCACAATACACAGTCTATTTACCGTTAGGAAATCAACCATGCTTCCCAACTGTCCCTGATTTCAAGGGACTGTCCTTGATTTAGATCAAAGTCTCTCTTTCCTCCTCATTTGTTCCTTATTTGAGTCTGATCTATATAGCTGTATATAAAATGAACTATTTATCTTTGAAAAAGTGTTTCCCAGTGCTAAACCTTTCCATATTTTAGATTGTTGCATTTGTAGACTTCAAAAGCCAATATGAAGGAATAGTATTGGTTAAAAAACAGCAGTTGTGAGTTTAAGTAATCTTTTTTTTTTATAATTCTCCTTTTAGGAAGTGTGGCAGAGATGTGTGTCCTATGCCTATTGTGGGACATTAGGAAACTGCTCAACTAGGAATCATGGTGGACACTAGGAACCTTCTCTATTAGGTAACACTGTGGGACACTAAGAAACTTCGACTCTAGGAATCAGGGGGACCACTGGGCAACCTGGCACTAGGAATACTAGCTATTGCTCAGGCAGTGCAAGAGGGATTGAGCCAAGCTTAAATAGAAGAGAGATGTTCTGACTGTGTCAGGGTGTGTGGCTAATTGAATTAACAGCAGATGGATAAACAATCTTGAACACAAGTCTTGCGGGATAACAGGTAACAGCTGAACCTTGCAAGCAGAAGTCATGGAACTACAAGTACAAGAATGCCTGCTGGTCTTTGGGATTAGAGGTGACATATCATCAGCAAAGCTGCAGATATGTGAAAGTTATGGAACATGTAAACATGGCTTGACTGAAGAAACAGCAGTTATTGCAACTCAAACAGTCTAACTCATTTTATACAATAACATATTTTTCATAGTATTCCATGATGCTCTGCTTGTTTTCTTAGGGAAAATGCCAAGAACAAGCAGTATGCTGATAGGTGGAGAGAGCAGTGAAAAAGAGATGAGCTTATAAGTCTGCTACTTCTCCTTTCACTGTCCAGTCACAAGCTGGGGGGAGTGACAAGAACTATATGTGTTACGTCACTGCTGCAGAGAAAATAAGGTCTCCTGACCTTTAAGACAGGGCTGTGCTCTGTGGCAGAGATGTGAAAATCTTAAGACTGCATGGACAGCAATACAAATCCTTTGGAAGGTAAATCAGCGCACATAGTACACTACTAGGTATCAGTGCTGTGGCTAGACGTTGCGAGCAAAAGAGCAACATTCATTCTCTAGCTAGCTACTCAGTAGCTTGTAGGACCCTGCTACAGCTTCCTTTGTTGGCTTAACCTCCCTGGTGGTATTCCCGAGTGTAGCTCAGGGTAAAGTTTCAGTACCACAAACGGTAACCCCGAGCTACACTCGGGCTTACCATGCAGCGCTGCTCCGCGATCCCTCGATCACTTACCTTGTCCTGCGCTCCTGCGATGTCCCTCCTGCAGTGTCCCCGGCAATGTAATCCGGCGGATGCCGGCATCTGTCTTCCGGGTTCCGTCCCCTGCGAGCATCGGGACGTACGGGGGGACGGAACGGCGGGAAATTTGAAAATGACAAAGTGACATTCACTAAAATCACACAGTAAAACATTACTGTATCAAACCATTTCACATACATTTTGTCTCGAGTGCTTTTTCCCGCGCCCTGCCTGCATTTTTACTGTTCTTTGTGCCTGGAAACTGAGAAATGTCCATGGCGTCCAAAAAGCGCCCCTTTAGGTCAAAAGCAGTTTTAGACCAGCTAGAGAACAGCGATAGTAAATCAGAAACCACTTGCAGAATTGAGTGATAATGATTCGTGGGGAAATTCGTCATCAGACGTTGAAAACGATTTTGCGACTTTGGTCAGTGATGTGCGAACTTGGCGCTATATTTCAAATTTCAGTGTTTTTGGTTTGAATATATTATTGAATTAAATGTATTATTATATTATTTTTTATGATTATTTATTAAATTATAATTTATGATTTTGTGTTTCAAGTTTTATCTTACCCAGAATGTTTACTCTCTTGTTTCTTGTGTCTTGATTTCAGTGAGTTATTCCTAAAAATTACAGGCCTACAATAAAAAAAATAAATATTTCCATGCAACAAAAATGTACTGCTTTGAGCACAGAAATATGGACATAATCAGACCGCTAGGGAGGTTAAGCAGTAGTCCTTCATTTGGCCACTAGGAATGTTCCTACCTAGGTTAAGCATCCTTGAAACAGGGGAGTTGAAAGGTAGTTAAGGGTGGTCAGTAGTAGAAACAGATAAAGAAGGGACAATTTGTAACTGATTAAGGCTCTCAAGGGCCTCACCAGCAAATACCATGTAGCATTCCGGACAATGGCTTTCCCCTTTGGAGGACACCGGGATTCCTCCTTCCTCTGGGTGGGCCAGGCCAGTTTAGCGGGAGGATTGTTTGGTAGAGACTGTGCAGAGGATGGGACTGTACACTGTGTTCGACTGATGTTTCTATTTGTCTTAGTGCTGCTAATGCTGCATGTCCAGATTGCTTACCATATGTGGATGCACCCCAGGATAGCAAAGAGGAGGCCAGAGATCAGGGACACTGGAACAGCACACAGCAAGGAGATGATTCGATAGCACCAGAGCTTAGAGGATTCAAACAAGATATCACTCCAGGTCCAGACTTTGTCAAAACTGTGAAATGAGTCCGGTTCAGCTAGGACATCTGAAAAATCTACCTGCAACAAGAAATGCAATAACAGTCAATTTGAAATGAATAGACAGGGGGAGCCTCTACTTGCAACTTGCAGTACGCTCTAGTTGGAAGTCATAATGCTAGTTAACATTTGCCAGCATTAGGGACACTTTGGTAAATATGATTCTGACACTGTGCTGCATTTTAAGGGTCAGTCTACCAAAAAAAAAATATATAGAGAGAAGGCAATGTCTCCAGTATGAATCAGCTTGGGATCGTTCTGGACCCATGTTCATCTGAATGCATACGTAAGCTGCCAGTGCTGGGTCAATCAGCTGTGGGAGGGGGATTCCCCACCAAGCAGCTGCACATTCACAAAGGGGCGAGGATGCTTGTCACTCCATTAACCTAACATGGTCATATTAGGTCAATGTCATTAACGCAATATGGCCATGAAGACATATTAGACCAATGATGTCACAGTTGTCCCTGCCCCTTTGTATACTGTATGTGCAGCTGAAGAAGATGAGGGATACTGCTGATTCTGCCAACAGAGCTTTTTTTGCCATATTGCTACTTCCTATAATAAGGTCAATGGGATTCTTACATTTTCCTCACCAAACATACTAGACCCTTGTCCTAGACATAAAGGGGCCCCCATGAAAAATAGAAAAAAAGAAATAGGGGTCCTGCCCCAAATCCATACCAGACCCTTATGCTTGATGAGGGTCTAGAATGGATTTTAAGGGGGACTTCACACACAAAAAATAGGCATGGGGTCCCGCCCAAAATCTATAACAGACCTTTGTCCAAACATGCAGCCTGCCTGGTTAAAAGAAGTGGGGGGCAGTGAGCGTGCACCCTCCCTACTGCACCATGCTAGGCAACGTGCCCTCAACATGGACTGGGTACCTTGGCCCCATGTTGATGGGGATAAGGGCCTCTTCCCCACATTCCTGGCCCAGAGCATGTGTGGTGTTGGTCTGCGGGGGGACGACTTATTGGAATCTGGAAGCCCCATATAAAATAAGTGTACCCCACACAACATCCAAATGGTATGATGTTAATAAGAAATTCTGAGGTGTAATGGAAAAGTATGTCCCTCTTCTAAACCATGCCATAATCTGCCTTGAGTATTTTTCTGAATTTTATAGATATCTACATCTGCATATGCACTATATTGCCAAAAGTATTGGTACACCCCTCCAAATCATTGGATTAGGTGTTCCAATCACCTCCATGGCCACAGATGTATAAAATCAAGCACCTAAGCATGCAGGCTGCTACTACAAATACTTGTGAAAAAATGAGTAACTCTCAGGAACTCAGTGAATTTAAGCATGGTGCCGTGTAAAGCATGCCGCCACTGGACTCTAGAGCAGTGGAGACGTTCTCTGGAGTGACGAATCACGCTTCTCTGTCTGGCAATCCAATGGACGTGGCTGGGTTTGGCGGTTGCCAGGAGAACGGTACTTGACTGCATTGTGCCAAGTGTAAAGTTTGGTAGAGGGGGATTATGGTGTGGAGTTGTTTTTCAGGGGTAGGGGTTGAGCTTGGCCCCCTTAGTTCCAGTGAAGTGAACTCTTAAGGCATCAGCATACCAAGACATTTTGGACAATTTCATGCTCCCAACTTTGTGGGAAGAGTTTGGGGATGGCCCCTTCCTGTTTCAACATGACTGCACACCAGTGCACAAAGCGAAGTCCATAAGGACATGGATGAGCGAGTTTGGGGTGGAGGAACTTGACTGGCCTGCACAGAGTCCTGGCCTCAACCCGGTAGAACACCTTTGGGGTGAATTGGAGCAGAGACTGTGAGCCAGGCCTTCTCATCCGACATCAGTGCCTGACCTCACAAATGCGCTTCTGGAAGAATGGTCAAACATTCCCATAGACACCCTCCTAAACCTTGTGGACAGCCTTCCCAGAAGAGTTTAAGCTGTTATAGCTGCAAAGGGCGGGCCAACTCAATATTGAACCCTATGGACTAAGACTGGGATGCCATTAAAGTTCATGTGTATGCAAAGGCAGGCCAACCAATACTTTTGGAAATATAGTGTATCTCTGTAGGACATCAATGGTGATACCTCAAAACAGAATTTTTTTTTTTTAACTGTTGCTTTTAAAAAATTTGCTTAATGGGGGCTCCACTATCTAACGTTATTATCATTACTAATACTAGTATGCAATAATAGTTACTTCAACCTACAAAGTAAGAAAATGCTTGAGGTGCCTAGAGTAATCAGTTAAATGAGGGCACCAAGTTACAGCCTAATGATCTTTTCAAAAACATTCATGCTGGGATCAGTTTAGTGTATTGGTGTCTATGGATTTGGGGTAAAAGAGAGCAGAATGATGAAGTAAAACTAACAAGTTGATTCTTCCCCTTTGAATAGTCAGTCAGAGAGATGTCTTGAGTTCTGGAGTGCTTATTGTCAAATAAACATTATCAGATCCAACAGTAATACAGCTAAATTGGCTGCAAATCTATCTGTGTCTTTTCAATGCAAGCATTTTCCCATCTCCCCCAGTAAAGCAAAATAAGAGATCAGACAAGCGATGACCCCAGTGCAATGTAACTATGCCATGGATATTTCTGTATTGCATTCCATGTCTATGCAATTTGCAGGCCATAGCAGCTGTGCGTTCAGGGCTGGGTTTCTGTATAATCAACACAAGCCATGGCCCAGGACAGCAGGAATGGCAGGGGCGGCACTCCATCCCCCACAAATCATGTTACTGCCAGTAGTACATTCTCATGTATAGTAAAAGGTTCTAGGCTTACGCCCTGTTATAAAAATTTGACCAGGTCCTCTTTGTGTCTGTCCCTGAATAGTCTATGCATTATTGTTGGTGGAAAAGCATATGGGGTACTTACACCTAGACCTAAAATGCTAGTTAAGTGACAGTTACAGGGTACAGGACAAAGTAATGATGTAGGGGTCAGCATGAAGAACTACAGTGGAGCAGGGGCGGACTGACCATTTGGAAACTCGGCACTGCCCGAGGGCCCGGGGTCAGTAGGGGGCCCCATGAGATGCCCCTGGTACCTTTTTCATAGGCTTTTTTGAGTTTGGGCAAGGACACAGGGGCCCCATGATCCCCTGGGCACTGCCCTGGGTCAGTAGGGGGCCCCATGAGATGCCCCTGGTACCCTTTTCATAGGCTTTTTTGAGTTTGGGCAAGGACACAGGGGCCCCATGATCCCCTGGGCACTGCCCGAGGGCCCGGGGTCAGTAAGGGGCCCCATGAGATGCCCCTGGTACCTTTTTCATAGGCTTTTTTGAGTTTGGGCAAGGACACAGGGGCCCCATGATCCCCTATTGCCCGGGGGCCCCATGAGTTGTCAGTCCACCCTTGCAGTGGAGGAACATGCTATCTGATGCACCCCAAAATGTCAAATAGCAACCAAGCCCCGAACTCTTCATTGAGTGAAGATCACCACCTGGGTGGGTACTGTAAGCAGAGAAGGGGTGAGCCACAAAAAACACTCATACAATCACTTAATTAAAGATTGATTCTTTTTCCCAAAAAATTTGATATATTCTTTTAGGTCTAGCAAGGTAGCATAAACAGTTTGAGACTGACAGGTTCTGTATTTAGTTCTTACAAAGCAAATTGAATTAGTAGCGCTTGCCTCCCTTATGCTTTCAGTTCATTCAGGCACTATGTTACCCTTTACACTACTCATAGGCCCTCCTAGGGGTTTTCTGGGTATCCAGAAAAAGGAATCCTTTCCTTCCTCTGAATGCTGATCCTGGCAATGTACTCTGCCCTTTGTACAGGTCTTTTTTGCCTAAGGTTCCCCACTTTTCCAGCTAAGGGTTTGACCTGACAGAGGGTCTAACCCTTCCCCACTCTAAAACTAAGAATGAAATGTAGCCTTTACATACACTTTAACCCCTTCCTGCCTGCCCTGGCATCTCTTTAAACAGTTCGTAACACCCGGAGATGGGAAGGATTGGCGATCATGTGACCACTGTCATTGTGACCACATGATTAGAAATCGGCTCCACCAGCTACTGATCTTTACCCCATACTGAGATCTGCCTTTGATAGTTCACCCTTTGTGCTTCGCTCAACTGCCTGTTTTTATTGCCTTCTGGCAGCCTTTGTAAAAATCTTCCAAAAACTGAAATCAGGCTTGCAGCAATGGAGTTCTGGGTGTTACCCATCATTAATGCTCTTTACACTGCTTTAAGGCCTCATTCACATGGGAGTACTACAGCATACCAGCACTGCTCCCAATCTGACATCCATGCAAGTGCAGACAGTGTGCGTTTGGGGCCATGCACTCATGCAGATGTCAAATTGGAAGCACTGTGTCCGTGTAGCTGCTGCGTCCCAACTGACATGAATGGGACTGCCTGCATGGGGATGCACAGAACACTTGAGCAGGTAAACACGGCCCTAGCACGGGTGTATACTGTAGTATGCCCCATGTGAATGAGGTTTTATAAATAAGCCAGTACTTGTCAGTATATTCCTCATTAAAGGATTCTAGTATATACATATACACATATATGTCTATATAGGTACCTTGAGGTGCTTGTTTACCCCCCGTGGATCCCGCACATCTAGTCTCAAGGGGGCATCACTGTAGACTGTGGTGTTGGCTTGACTTTGCAGGTACTTCTCATCTTTGTCAGTGTCCATTGGACATTCGATTAAATATTGATCAGGAATCATGGCAAGCGAGGTTCAGGAGCTGAGTTGTGTCGATCAGATTTGTGTGTGAAGGTCCGGGGTGGATAGGAACCCACGTGCAGAAACTGGTGCTACCTTATTCAAATGCAGGGCTTTGTCCAAACAAACTTTCCGTACCTTCCCCTGTTGTGTGACAGTGTCTCTTCAATTCCTTCCACCACCTCTCCCTGCACTGTTGGAGTTGCTGTGGATAATATTTCAGAGCTCCTCTCCCTCCCTCACACTTCTCTGTGACATGCCAGACCCAACTGTCACTATGATATAAATATGGTCACTGGAACGCTGGCACCCCAGCTGTGCTGGATTATCTGCCCCTGCTCCGACCATTCATAGGACGGCAGTGTGCATCACCTGCATTGGCCCGGAGGTCTGCATGGAGGAGCAATTGAATATCTTTAGCCTTGAAAGATGGGAGAAAATGTGGGCTGAAAAGCTCAGGAGCCTGTGAGAGATTTATGCTTAACATACATGTGTGCAATCTTTTTTAGATTTACCAACAAGTATGTAGTGCAAAGACCTGATCTGATTGGATACAAATCAATTGGAAAGCTTAGGTGTGTCCTAATATACTAAGGGGACCAGATGTTCAAAATTAAATCCAGGGAAACCCTACTGATCACGCCCACCCTTATTGAAGGTGGGACAGGGGAGGAGCAGGAGGTGGGAATAAGAGTAGCATGACAAGCGCACCACATGCTGCTGGGTGTGTCAAAATTGTGCTGACAGTGGGAGGGGCTTAAATGGTCTGAGCAAACTCCCCCCCCACACTGTGCACACCCCACCATGTTTCCCAGGCTTTGTGCCCATTGGCTGACCGAGGACGAGGATGGTAGGGGCCCCCAGGTATAGGAAAGGGAGATAAGCGAATGTCCCTTTGCCGATCTTCCTATTACTGACCCAGAAGTGACATGCAAAACATCACTCCCAGGTCCTGGTGTCACTGTCCTCAGTCAGTATGGCTGGGGAAGAAAACGAATGCAGAGCGATCTGCACTTCATTATCTTCACTGGAGGACAGGTGAGACATTAGGGGTCTTTTAGACTGCTGAGAACCTGTCACCTTTCCGAAAATATATAATGTTTGTGGGTTTTAAGTAATCTTCAGGCCTAAAATTAGTTTTTAAATGAGCACAAAAAAATGCAAAAACGGCTCTGGCACTAAAAGGGTTGATAACACCTGAGCTTACTTTGCTCTAAGTCAAGAGTGCATGTCCAAGCGTGCACTGCAGGTCAACGTCGCAAACAAGGGCAAGGCATCAAATGATCCATATCCTCACCTCCCTCAATGAAGTTTGCACAAGCCGAGAGAGGAGGAACTGGAAAGACCACATAATATCGGCATGTGACATCAGCAATAGCCCCGGACACAGCTGGGACACAACCCACCTCCCTTCTTCAGGTCACTCAAAGAAATGATTCTAAGATGGATTTCCCTGCAGACACCTGGACTAGGGGCACAATTATTAAAGCTGGAAACAAACTGGGGACATATTCTTCTAAGCAGGGATAAAATCAGAGATATTTTTTGCTCAGGGATATCCTCCCTAAAATTGGTAGCCAGATGTCCCACTTTCCGGGGACAATCCCTGACTTTAGGGGCTGTCTCCAGAAGCCAAGGACGTCTAGTCACCCTATCATGAACATAGTTTTTGTAAATGAAAGGTTGTATGGTTAAATTGTAGCATTTATAGTGACCTTTGTTGAAGCTCCACCTAAAATATAACTCAGTTTCCAGGTGACTTGATAGGTCTGTGTATGACATGCAGTGATAACTGTACATGGAGCCTGTCATATTCCCTTATTCCATATACATTTTATTTAACATTTTACATTCTTGTGAGTATTTTACTTTTTTTAATAAATCCTATTTTTAAGGTAATGCACTAGGCCTGTGCGCCCTCTTTTTGTGTTCCACATACAGTTTCTTTTGGATTTCCCTGGTCCGTTGAGGGCAGCAAGGCCTGCATTTCTCTAATCCATGTGAGGATACCAATAGCGGGGAGTCCACAGTTCAGCATAGGAGCACATGCATTCGGTTGCTACATTCTTCCTTCCATATACATTTTATGCCTGCCTGTTTAGTAGTGCAGCGCATGTTCTTCATATCTCAATGCAAGCCAGATAGTCACCTCTATAAATACAAGACACCATGGGATTGATTTACAAAAACTGGAGCGTGCAAAATCTGGTGTAGCTGTGCATGGTAGCCAATCAGCTTCTAACTTCAGCTTGTTCAATTAAGTTTTGGCAATAAAACTTGGAAGCTGATTGGTTTCTATGCAGAGCTGCACCAGAGTTTGCATTCTCCAGTTTTAGTAAATCAACCCCCATGGGTTCTATTGAAAAAAAAATTGAACGAATGTGACAAGCATTTCCCCTTCTTTGATGAATTCTGATCATAATTTGTTCAATGCAGTGATTTCCTATGATCATTAGCTCCATCCAGTGGCTATAATGCAGTATTTTGTCTGATTCGGGTATTTCAATGACATCAGCCAGCATCCCCTCATCTATGTTATGTAAGGCTATAGAGCACAGAAGTCCACAGCTACATCTGATCGGCCAGTGGCCTGCTAACAAGTGACAGCTTCCCGAAGGTATGGACAGATGGGCCTTAGCTCAACACTACTTCCTACCAATTCCAACTGATATGAATGTACAATATGTAGGTAAAGCGCTGTGTAAATTGATGGCGCTATATAAGTACCTGTAATAATAATAATATTAATAATTCAGAGTACTGCAAACCTCAGGAGAAGATGCTGGACCACAGTGCAAGATCAGCTTCTCATCAAAATCTGGGCTACCAACATTCTCCAGGATCTTGCCAAAAGAATTATGACATCACTTTTGCCTGGGCACTACACTTATCTGTTTAACCACTTCCTGTCACTTTGCCATTTATAAATGGTGGCGGTTGAAGTGGTTATATCAGGGTCATGACTGCAGCTACATTCATGGCCCTAGTATTATTCTTTACAGCCAGAGATTCTCTTTTAGGTAAAAGTAATCTGAGCGGCTATACAGCTGCTGGATTATTTTTACAGACAGTAGAATAGGGGGGAACTCTCTCCTGCCACTGCTGCCTTTACTGGGCTCTCCCGTCCCATCAGGGAACTGGTAAAGATGTGACTGGCAGCATCAGCTTAATGGCACAGTGACAGGAACTAATGTTGTTCCTCTTATTGTGTGATGTCATAAACCAGAAGTGATGAGGATTTCGTCACTTTCAGTTTTGGTCTCATGTAAACAAGCCATTACCGGCTTATGAAAGCAACTGATCAGATGCTTTGGAGGCCAGAAGAGAGATAAGGGGTCTCATAGACCCCAGATCTCTCCGTAAAGAGGACCTGTCAAGGCACATGCTGTCATATGGAATGTTTTTAATCCCTGGTAATAGCAATAATGTTGATCCAAAAAATTTTTTTTTTTGCCTAATACGTTCATTTCCTATGATTGTCAGCTCCCTTTAGTGGCCATAAGGTGGTATTTTCCTGAAACACCTCAGTCAGGAAAAATACTGCATTATGGCCAGTAGGTTGAGCTGATGATTATAGGGAATAAATGTACTAGGCAAAATACAGGGAATATTTATGCTGATTGTGCAAATGTTTGAGACATTTGCACACAGATATTGTATAAATAGACCTGTATGTGCTGATGATCACACAAGAAGTAAGGAGATGACCACGTTGAGGACCAGACAGAGATTCTTATCCTTCTACATTCTTCAATAAAGCATGCTTTACTACTGTCTCTTCCCCTGCTCAAAACATTTTGCTCACTTTGGGTCTCAGTGAATACACCGGACCAGGGCGGACTGACCATTTGGAAACTTGGACACTGCCCGAGGCCCCTGGTACCTTTTTTATAGGCTTTTTTGAGTTTCGGCAAGGACACAGGGTCCCCATGATCCCCTATTGCCCGGGGGCCCCATGAGTTGTCAGTCCACCCCTGCACCGGACGTGAAGAAGAAACAACAACAGTAAAACCCCAGCAGATGTTCTATCCCTTTCTCATTGTTTCCAAAACTAAAAACAAAAAACATTGGCATGAGTTGTGCTGTAAATCATAATCTCAATGAGTATTGGCATCTGCTTCCAACAAAGGTCTCTTCTGTCCCTTTACTCAAAGCACTTGTGTGTAGTATTCCATTCTCTATTAAAGTCAAACTCCAGCAAAGCTCATGGTTGCAGTGTGGTATTTTAAGTCAAAATCCCACTTGAGATTTAAAAAAAAGCCCCCCCAACAAAAAAACAAATATTTAGGAAGTGGCAGGATGGCCCCCTGAACGCCTGGAAGCTGCTGTTCTACTGCCACCTAAAGGTGACATGCAGAACACTTTTCAGAGTGCAGGTACTGCCACCCCTGTGAATGGGCCCTGCAAGTTAAATGACTCATGCAGGCAAGGAGCCAGCCTAGCTCCGCATCTCACTGAAGAGCTCCAAAAACAAAACTGTAGGTCTCTGGTGGCACCCCTGAAGTCTGCCCGATATATTCCCATATTGTTACATTTGCTTGTCCTTGATTAATGTTTCTGGTGCAAAGCAGAGCTTGGATGCTCATTCTCAGCATCACAGCAGTGAGTGTCTCTGTTAGGGTTCTGTCCACAGCAGAGGTACTCGGAGACCTGGCATTCCTGCCAGTACCTTGCATGGCCGCAAAAATGCACGCTGGCAAAAATCTATGCGCATTGGCGCGCGGACGCGGGCCAGAACACGCATGCGCACTGGCGCATAATTACGCACGCATTAGCCCAGTTTGGCACCAGATGGCCTTTATAAGGAAGCCCATCACTCCCTCAAATTGCTGGTTGATCTCTGGTTCCCCTTTGTCCGTGTTCCTTTGCTACTGTGAGCTGCTGTTACCGATTTGGCTTGCTACTGGACCTGTTTTCTCTGCCTGATTCCTGATCTGACTCTGGCCTGGCTAACAAATATTCTCACCTGCTCTCCTGATCTGACCCCGGCTTGGCTAATAGAT